GATATTATCGCTACTTACCCAGACACGCAACGTTCGGCACTAGATGGGACCTTACAGTCCTCCAAGATCACCCAATAGGCATTCAATTTATGGCAAGCGGAAAGATTTCAAGTTTAATATCATTGGATCTCCGGACAAGTCAAGTACTCCTCGGAGGAAAGGTTTGATCGCATCGCCGGGCAAGTACACACCGAATGGCTTGAACAAAAACGGTCTCGGCAGCCACAAACATGCCATAAATGGAAACTCCAGTGCCAATGGAAAGCACAAAATTAGCAGTGCTGGCCCGTCTTCTATCGATGAACAGCGCCGAAGCTTGCCCATCTGGTCAGGTAGTACCATCGCCTTGCGCAAGCTGTGGTTCTATTGCTGAATCTTTCGCTTCCAGCTCGAAAGTCGCTCGTACGAGAAATTCGGGAGAATGACTGCGTAGTTATACTGGGTGAAACTGGGAGCGGGAAGACCACACGTAGGCATATCTGTGACCGTTCTTGATTGTCTGTTAACCTGATTTCTCCTTCCGAAGAGATACCTCAGTTCATATTCGAAGCAGGTCTCTGCCAAGAGCCTCTCATGATTGCCATTACCCAGCCCCGGAGAGTAGCTGCCACCTCCCTAGCATCCCGAGTGTCTGTAGAGCAAGGCACTCCCCTCGGCGGTCGAGTGGGTTACTCCGTCCGATTCGACGACAAGACATCCGACGGAACGAGGATCAAATTCATGACGGATGGCATGCTCGACAGAGAGCTTTTGGGCGATCCAATGCTCAGTCGGTATGGTGTCATAATCGTGGACGAAGCTCACGAGCGGACCCTACGAACCGACCTCCTCTTGACGTCACTCAAGTCCATCTTGTCGACTCGAAACTCTTCAAACGGAAACGCGAGCGGAACGTCACCCACAAATGGACTTTCAAAGAGCCAAAAGGATAGCAAAGGGAAGGGGAAGGCATTGCCACCTCTAAAAGTCGTTATCATGAGTGCCACGCTCGATGCGCAGCGGTTCAGCGACTTCTTCAATGGGTGGGCTATCATCCTTCCCTCCCTCCTCACTTGAAACCCTGATCATATCCACCACAGAGCTAAGGTCTTGTACGTCAAAGGTCGTCAACACCCAGTCAAAGTCCTCCACACGTCCGAAGCCCAAAAGGACTACATCGAATCCTCCCTCCAAACCTTCTTCCAAATCCACACCGAACAGCCTCCAGGAGACGTTCTCATATTCCTCCCGGGGCAAGAGGACATTGAATCTCTCGCATCGTCGATTGAGTCTCTCGCCGAACAGATCCCACCGGAGGGTCAGGGAGTCCTCGTCTGTCCCATGTACGCTGCCCTCCCTCCCTCGGTCCAAAGCAAAGTCTTTGGCAAAACCCCCGCGAACGTGAGGAAAGTCGTGTTGGCCACAAACATCGCGGAAACGAGTATAACGATACCCGGAGTGAAATACGTCATCGACACGGGCTTGTGTAAAGAGAAGAGGTACTTTCCTCGAGGAAGAGGGAGCGGCGTGGACGCGCTCATGGTTCAAGCGATCAGCAAGAGCTCCGCACTTCAGAGGACCGGTCGGGCTGGACGCGAGGTACGAATGTGTGCCTTCCTCCGTAGGACGTAGCTCATGTTTGAATTTCAGGGAGAAGGCTGGTGTTTCCGGTTGTACACAGAACAAGCGTACAACACTCAGTTCCCCGAGTCGGCGATCCCGGAAATCCAGAGGTGCAACTTGACGCACGCGATCCTTCAGATGAAGTGTCTCGGGCAGAATCCAGAAGTGGCCGACTTCATGGACGCTCCGTCGCAAGAAACGAGTACGTGACTCTAACCGGCCTACACGGGAAGCCGATATTCGGATCCTTACCCTTTCTTTTCTTTTCTCCAGTCAAAAGCTCTTTACTTGTCCTGTTCTCACTTGGCGCACTCGAAAAGAGTGGCGACGTAACTCCCAACGGTCGATGGATGGCCTCCTTCCCGCTAGACCCACCTCGTTCGCGCGCGATCCTCGAATCCACGAAACATCCAACCTCAACCTCCCCCCTCCTTTCGGTCATCTCGCTGCTTTCAACCACGGGCAAAGTCTTCTACGACTCGAAGGACCGCGAAGCCTCAGCGGAAGCCAAGCTCAAGTTCCGGCACAAGTCCGGAGACCACCTGACCCTCCTCAACGTGCTCAAGGCTTACGAAGAGGTCGTCTCTGGGTCAACGAACTCCCCAGCGCAAGCCAAACGCGTTGAAATGGACTCGGAAGGCAAATCGTCTGGCAAACGAAACGTCGCGAGAGAGTGGTGCAACACCAACTTCCTCAACGAGCGCGCGCTGAAGGAGGCGTTGGACATCAGGAAACAGCTCCGGGAGACGTGCGATAGGGAAGGCGTAGATTGGAAAGCGGCGGGACACACGAAGAAGTCCACCGACGAGACCGACGAAGGGCTTCTCAGGTCCTTGTTGGCGGGGCTATGGCAAAATACGGCGATGATCACGCCGGATGGTTCTTACAAGCAGGTAGTCGGAGGGCAGGCAAGTGGCATCCTAACTCCAGTCTAGTCTAAATCGGTATGCTTATGATTCGCTTCATTAGCCTGTCAAAATCCACCCATCTTCGTCGCTTTTCAGTCGAAAGGTGCCTGCGATCATGTACGACGAGCTGGTAAGTACCCCGCCGTCTCCTCTTCCCGAAGCAACCCTGACGATGCATTCGAAAGATCGTCACATCAAACACGTATGCGATGGGAGTCTCTTCAATACCACAAGCATGGCTTCTGGATCTTCCAATCTTCAAGCAGCAAACGCAAGCGGCAGGGCCTACGGCCGAGCCGCCAACACTGCGATGACGGATGCCTAAATCTCTGGTTCAGAGTACGGCCGATGGAGAGGCCAACTTGTACAGTAATGTAAAACGTAAAGTTGTACAAGGCCGTATAGACATTTTACAAAATCACTGTCAAACTAGATGAAGTCCTCCGCTCGCGCTCTTTTCCTTCCCTTGCTATCCGAGTCGGCCATCGTGACGTCTTGTTCCCAGGGTTGCTGTACCCAGCTACTCCTCGGAATCTCGTAGAGGTACTTTGAACTCTCAGCACGCACTTCCTCCTGAAATGAAGGAAAATCATATCAGATGAACGGTTTATTTGTGACGGAAACCGCGAAATGGCTAACCGGTGACTTTGCGTTGTTCGTCCAGATGAGCTTCGAGCCTTCCTTTACGTCAGCGAGAGGCTCAACAGGTTTAGGAGTCGGTACGGGCACAACAGTCGCTGATGGTTGAGACGGTGCTGGAGACGAAGCGGAGGGAGGCAATGACGGGGGAGCGGGAGTTTGAGACGGTGCGACTGCTGGAGGAGCACCTGTCGGTGGGAATGGTGGAGCAGCTCCTGATGGCGCTCCAGGAAGCTTCGGAATATTAGGAGGAGGCATGGGCATGGGGGGTCCACCTAATCTCAGAGGTGGCCCTCCCGGTGGGAAGGGTGGCATCGGCATACCCGGGGGCGGAGGGAATGGAGGTGCCTGGCCAGGTACAAGGCTAAATCGCGAGCATGTCAGTAGCACGTCATGATTTGCTGGTATAATAACTTACCCAGGAGGTGGGAATGGCGGGGCCACACCCAGCGGCAATGGGAAGGGGGGCTGGCCAGGAACTCCCGGTGGCGGGAAAGGTGGAACAGCGCCCGGTGCTGGGGGAGCACCAGCAGTAGGGGGAGGGAACGGTACAGGTGGTTGCGTGTAAGCCTGAGGAGCCGCAACCACACTGGCTGCTGTTGGACCGGCGGACACGGTTGCACCGCTTGGGGCAGCTGTAGATGAGCCGTCGCTACCGGACATGAGCGCAATGTGCGCAAGCAATTGTGCCCGCAGTTCGGCTTCACTCAGTGGCCGAAGGTCCAACCGAGCACGCTTGGTCGGAGGCTGGGAGATTGAGCCTGCCGCGAGACCAAGCTCTTGCTCCTTCCGGCGCTTCCAGGCTTCGACGTCGCTGTCAGATGCAAATGATGAGCTCTTTTATGTCACAGCTCTGCCGCAAGCGGTACCGACTCTTTTGGGATTCTATCAAGTAAATGGCATATTAGTCAAGCATCTCCAACACAAAAGCGGAAATTGAGACTCACCCTTCCATACCGAATATTTCTACTTCTCCACCTTCCCGCCCAGGGAGGGCGTTCTCGATCCTATAGAATCGTTGAGATTTTTTCTAGAAGCCAGAAGTCTGACGACGTACTTGTCCGGATCGAGCTTGTGCACTTGTTGAACGTGGACAGCAAGACCGCCAGCGGTATTGAGCTTGCGAGGACAGTGCTTGCACTTGAAGTGTTTAGCTTTTTGGTGCTGCATAAGCACTACAGAGAGTCGTCAGCACCAAACTAGAGTTCTTGAATGTTCTGCTCTGTCGACGCACCTTTCTCGTCCTCGAACTCTCGTTCGCAGTACCAGCACCATGGTTTGAGCACCTACGATCAAAGAAATACGCCATCAGATTAAGTCTTACTCGTTCAATTGAATTACTTACGAATTTGTTCTTTTTCTTCGCCATTGCTGAACTTGGGTGGTGTGGTCCGCAACGAAACAATGGTCGAAAAGAACTGTGGGAAACATGCTTGGGGATCATCACCTGCCCTTAGTCTAGCTTTCTCCAGCTTTCTTCCCATGTATTGAACTCATTCACTATTGAGTTTTTCATATCTCAGTGACTTTAATTTTCCAGCTCACGACTTTACGTCTTCCTTAAACCTCCTTTCTGGCTCTTGGCCCAAATCTGGTCCTGCCGAAGCTTAAGCACTTCATGATATTGATTTACGCGATGGATGACAGACAGATGTGTCTAAAGTTCGAGATTCCAATGATTTGAATACCGAGATATCGATGCATCAGTCGTCAGTATTTGAAACGCAAGGCTTGCGAACGAAGAGTGCTTCAGGAGTATCCTTGGGGGAAAAAAACGTCATTCAGCCTCAAGAATGTTGAAGGATGTATATAGACATAGCACCACTGAGAACTAGAGATACAAAAAGGAAATGATGAGAGTGGGATTCGAACCCACGCCATTTCTGACCAGAAGGCTTCCAACGGATGTTGTAAATACCTTAATCTGGCGCCTTAGACCGCTCGGCCATCTCACCGGAACGGAAGTCAAGCTTGTCTTGCATTCTGATAGTAACATGTAAATTAATTTTCGCCCGCTAAACTGTTTCCCCCGATCATTGGATGCAAGAGACAGGCTATCACAACCTATCGGTCGAATCGTGCTTTCTGGACCAACAAGAGCATTTATAAACACAGTCAACGTGCCGTAGCAATACAGAAAGGAGATATGCAAACGAATAAACACTAGGCGTCCAGAGGGGGAAGGAAGGACTGGGGACACTAGCTCCAGGATCACGAAAGCTTTCCTTTGCCAATCTCATACAGCATTCGCGACCTCAAATACGGCATGTTCGTTTGGTCAAACACGAAATCCTCTGCTTCCTCTCCCCTGCTTATGCCTTCCATGAACATGCAAATGAAGACCCCACAGTCGTAGCCGTTCTCCTGCTGAGGTGTCTCCTATTGGGCGAATGCGTTTAGCTGTCAGCAATGGATCACATGGAAGGAACAGCCCAAGTCACCTCGCTCCAATAGTCCTGCCAACCATCGAAGTTGAAGGGTTTGGACTTCTTTGCCATGTGTTCCTTCTCCAGATACTCCCTCAAAATCTAAAGAAGGCCAAATTATCAGAAATACCGTTCACGTCGACGGTTGTCCAAGGCAATCATTACCTTGTACACTTTTGGACGTTGGGAACCCATGCTATCATAGTATTCGATCCGTTTCTTCATCATATTTATCGCAGCGCATGTCCAGTGTGCGTTGCCGAGGTTTATCGGGACGAGGATAACGTCTTTCGAAAAGATATCGAACTGGCAACGGGAGACCTGTTCAGCACACTTCCGAAACAAAGCCTTTTCGGTCGAGGCTCACCATCTTCGTCCACTTCCCCAATCTCGCCTTGTCATATCCATCAGTCTCCAGCTTCGGGAAGAAGAAAGTATTGAAGTAATGCACGTCGGTCAAGGGTTCGGGATGTCCTAGTCTACCAGGATCCGACTCTTCATCGTCTGGGAGCGCTTTCTCTTTGCCCTTGCCGTTAACTACTCCATTCTCAACTATAAAAATGGTCTTAGAGACGTATTAAAATACGAAGTATCGTACATCTTACCGGCTTTTCCCGCCTTAGCCGCCTTCTTATATCGTTCAGCTCGTTCCATGATCATCGCGCCCCACAGGTTGATGATCTCGTCGTTTAGCCACGACGCTGGCCCTAGTCTCCCAATATCCTTCGCAGTAACCATCTCTCTCCCGACTTTAGTAGAGAAGTTCCGGTTCTGCATGTACGACCGCACGAGGTCAGAGTGTCGCGGAGACAATTCGCTCGGAACCTTCTTCCGTTTGGCAGCTCGGATCCGTTTCGCGATCTCCTCGTCCTTCTTCCGGCTCTCCAGCTCTAAACGTCGGAACGCGGCGGCATCGGGCGGGGGAGCCCGAGGGTGGTTCAGTGCGGCGCGTGCCCTGGCTAACGCCTTCTCCAATTCCACACTTCGTTTCGGTAGTGGACGTTCAACTGGCGCACGTCGAGGGCCGAATAAAGAGTTGGTGGGATCACCCATTCGCGATGTCCGTGCGGTGCTAACCGAACTCTCCGATCGAGGCGGCGACCATCCTTCCGAGGTCACTGACCCGGTACTTAAACGAGGCGACGTAAGACTCGCAGCATCGCTGTACGTTCCAAGGCTCGATGTTGCTCGTGACACTGAGCTTGAAGTGCTTGTATACGCATCTAGTGGCGTTGGTCGCGTTCCAAGATCGGCGAGTCTCCTCGCCGCTAGGTAGCGGATGCTCAATTATCAAGGGATGCAAACATGAATACAGGTAAGCTCACTGGATTCGCTGAGGAGCTCAGAGCTCTCCAGTATCTGTCTGTACGATTCTCGACTGATCCAGTCCTGGTAATCCCCTCCAAAGCCACGGCCTTTTGCTTCCAGGAATCTGTCGTAGTCCACAATCGAATTCTGGGTCAAGCGGGCATGAACCCTGCGCCAATGCTGCATTATGATGTAATTGAGTGAGAATGAGATACAATCAGGAGGGCGCCGAGCTGACATACCTGCTGCTCATGAATATGCCCAGACCTCGCAAACTGTTTGACCCCGAGGCCCCGATTTGGACTGAGTAGATAGCCGGTTGAGTATGGCTTAGATGTCGATCCAGATAGCGAAGAAGGAGCACCAATCCTTGACGACCTAGAGCTGAAGAGCGGCCTTCGCTGCGACAATGGAGTGGTCGCTGTCCGACTCTTGCTGAACGACGGTGGAAGTGAAGACGACAACTGTTCTGCCCCACGACCTGACTTTGCAGTAGCTTGAGGAGTCTTAAATGCTGGTCCTCCATTTCCGCGTCCGTACAAAGCTCTTGGAGAGGGACTCGGAGCGTACGGATCCCGACGCAATGGAAGGGGCGTTCTTGCTTCTGATCTGGTCGGCGACGGCGAGAAGGGAGTTATGAAGGGAGTTTGCAGTGAAGAAGAAGAGATTGCCGATGGTGGCGCCAATGCGGTGTGGAAGGAGGTGGTTGAAGATGCGAGGGTGAGACTGGATGGTTGAGGAGCCACCGGTGAGGTCGTGATGATTGTAGGTGGTGGCAATGGAGGTGCAGATGGAATTGGCGGCCTTGAACTCTTTGGGGGACTACTTCTTGCTTCAGCGACGTCTCCATTGGCAGGAGATTCATTTTCCTGCTGGACCGGACGTGGCTTCGAACTCTCAGTGGGATCTGTTGAGTCCGCATCTGCATCTGCAATTGACTGCATTTCAGCTTCAATGCCTTGGCATTAGCAGCAAAATTCTTCTTACTCGCTGCAGGTAAGGTGCGAATAGCGTCTGCCGCCGCTTTCCATAGGAACGAGTAGAAATCGGCTATTTGACCAGTTACGCCTTGCGAACTGTTGCCGTCGTCCGGGGTAATCCTCTTCTGAGGTCTTGGACTCGCAAGGGGCAAGACTGCGTCGTTTGCTGTCCGTTTCGACATTGACGAGGAACAACGGGGGGAGGTGAGGTGGGTGAGTGCGCGCTCGAGAATGGGGCGAGACAAATCTCCGGGCCAGTCGAAACTCAAATCCCAGGGTCCGAGTTCGATTGTATCATCGCTCTCCCCTTTGGAGCGCCCGTTCACCAATCCCTCTGCATCACCAGGACTGGCCCAGATATGAGCCGTTTCCGACGGCCAGAGAAGCAACTATCAGAATGGGAAGAATGGTCACTGCCACAAGCCTCAACCTCTGCCCCAGGACAGCGACACCTCAACGGCTGGAGTGAGCTCGAAGGACCTTTAAACACGGACTACGGACTGGCATCTGGGGGCCAGCAGGAGACGCCTCCAATACGAGGTCCATTTGCGGTCTCAAGTAACTATGCTCCCCCGTCAAACAGCCTTGAATCGCAGTGGGATGCAGACTCAGCCGCGGCATTCTGGGCATTTCCTGAGCCAGAGGCGCCCTCTGGAGGACATCTCGAATCACCTCACCAAAACCTAGACAGGGGGAATAGTGACCAGAGCGATAGTCGTGCGTCGTACTATGGAGGTCGTCGTGAAGACGACGATGACCGCCGATCGGTCGCGTCGTATCGCACTGCACGGGCCACTGCCCAGGTCGGCACACCCTGTGAACATGTATTTTTCATTTCTGACACATCTTCAAACCGTTAGTGCGGTCTAAATGAAGCCTCCGATCAGCTTTCCGAGCTTCAGTGCGTAGGTGACTTGCTACACAAATCGCCCTCCACCGATTGATTAATCTATGAACTCCTATCACCAGGCTGCAACAGGAAGGTATCGAGCTGTTCCAAGAAGGTGCTCTTCCTGAAGAATACGAAGAGTGGCACAAACTCTGTCCAGACGCAGCCAGAGAAGCGTTGGACAAAAAAGAGGTCCAGCGCCAATCTGTTATCTTTGAGGTCATCAAGTCAGAAAGAGACTATGTTCTTGATCTACAGATGATAGAACAGGTATGAATCTCGAAACTCTCCTGCCCCCGTACATACCCAGGCTCATAGCTAGCCTTCAGATATTTGTCGTCGGTTTACTGTCCGCCAATCCGCCCATCATAGCCCCCGCAGAGGAGCTGGAGGATTTCATCAAAGCCGTGTTTTCGAACATTTCCGATGTCGAAAGAATCCACGAAGACTTGTTAGCCTCCCTTTTCCGGAGGCAACGGAGTGAACATCCCGTTGTCACGTCCGTGTCAGATCTAGTTCTTGACGCTTCGTTTGGATTTCAAGAGCCGTATGAAATTTACATCAAGGTGGATTTGAACATCTTCACCCGCTAGTGCTAGCTAACATCAATATGCTTCTAGAATTATCCGATTGCGGAAGGTCGACACAGAAAGGAGCTCAAGTGCAACCAAGACTACGCCAAGTTCATTGCGAAATGCTCCCAAGACACCAGAATCAAGAAGCGAGACCTGATTTCCTTGCTTTCACGTCCCGTCACTCGCCTTCCTCGATTGTCATTAATCTTGGAACATTGCTTGAAGCTCACACCTCCGGGCCACCAAGACCTAGAGGGTATACCAGTGATTCTCGGAGTTTTGGAAGGGTTGGTCAAATCTACCCAACCAGGTATCGCAGCCGCCGAAAGTGCGTTATTTATCGCTGCAAAAGTCTTCGCTGGAACCCGTCTGACTGATTTCTCGCAGGCAAGGTCAAAGTGCGAAACCTCATTGAGAGCCTGGTCTTCGAACGCGGAGAGCTCATAGTCAGTTACCGCACTGTCAACTCTTCTTTCGGCCTTTATTCATCTCTCCGACTCAATTGGATAGGATTTGGATCCTTCCGACGAGAATCGCTCGATGATATACCAAGGAATCCTGTCACGCCGGGATGTCAAAGGATGGGACCTCGACAAATATGGATGGGCGGACATCACCGTCAGCCTTTTGGATCACTATTGTTTGTTTGTTTTCTCCTGTGTTACTTCCGGGTGGTCTTGCTGAGCCGTGTTTCTGCAGTAATTATGACCCACCCAGAAATACGCTCGGGTGTAACGCGGAATGTGGTGCTTTCTCGACCTATCCCCCTCGAATTCC